AGGTAACTATGGGGAGGAAGTGGGAGGGGAGCTGTTGCATTGTGGTAAACTGTGGTCAATGTCATGAGACAAAGTGTATGTGAACTGCTGTATGGAAAGCGAATCTGCTCTGTAAATCTTCACCCAAATCACAATTTAAAAAAATAATAAAATAATTTGCTTAGCAATGTCCATAAATAAGCCAAATTCTCTGGCACTTCTACATACCGCCTTAATTTATATGATTGCCCAAAGTCTGACAAAAGATTCAGTTCACCTGAATTTCTTCTATTCGAAAGGACTGTTTTTCAGATCTTCTCCACCCCTCAAAATTTGTCAAAAGCCTTCAAAATTTTAACTTATTCATAGCTTAGGTGAGATATTATTAACTAGGTGAATCTTCATCCAGAGTTGCTGTAGAAATTTTCGTAAAATCCACTGTTTCTCCTTTGTATGTCTGAGGGGTGGAGTTTGAGCCTACAAATTTTGAAAACATTCAAATAACTGTGATACGGATCCTTCTGGTTTAGAACCACGTTATATGCCATCAAGTCGATTCCAACTTATAGCAACCCCACAGGACAGAGTAAAACTACCCTATAGGGTTTCCTAGACTGTACATCTTTATGGGAGCAGATCACCAGGTCTTTTCTCTCACAAAGCTAAGGGGTGGGTTTGATCCACCAGTCTTTTGTTTAGCAGCCAAGTGCTTAACTATTATCAATATAGCCTTGGTCATTTGATTTCTGCTTTAAAAAAAATGCTTCATGTCATGCATTTCTAAATAATTAAGGATTGTATCTTTTCTCTTAGAAATTTCTTTAGCCCTTGAGTGATCAATGGCTCCCTTTCTGTCAAGGGATTAACAAGTCATAAAACTTCTTGGTTCTCAATTCTCCAATCATTACAATAATTTTCTTTGTATTTTATCATACTTCCAATTTCTAATATATTTTCTGCTTAAAGCTTTTTAGTAGACTTTTAAAAAACTCATATTGTAACAAATAGGAAAGGAATAAAAATCCTTAAAGTTATAAAACAACAACGAACTATTGTTTCATATAGCCATTTGGTGGCTTAAGTTCATTGGTAATTTAGTTTACATATTACCTTATTTAGATTTCAAGCACATTAGGTCCAACAATGGGGCAGAAATAAATTGCTACTAAATTGCTGAGTGAATTTAGGTTCCTAGAAAATTTACTTATGATTCTAGTGCATACAGTTGGGATGATATTCAGCATTCAGCTGCTCAACAATTGAAACACTTGAAGATAGTGTTGTTGTTAGGTGCTGTCAAGTTAGCTCTGACTCATAGTAACTTATGTACAGCAGAATGAAACACTGAGCCATCCTCACAATCCTTGCTATGTTTTTGAGTCCGTGGTTGCAGCCACTGAGTCAATCCATTTCACTAAGGGTCTTCCCCTTCTTCGCAGACCCTCCACTTTCCCAAGTATGATATCTTTCTCCAGAGAATGGTCTCTTCTGACCACATGACCAAAGTCTGGACATTCTTGTTTCCAAGGAGTATTCTGGCCACACTTCTTCCAGGACAGATTTGTTAATTCTTCTGGCAGTCCACGGTATTTTGAGTATTCTTCCCCAACACCACAATTCAAAGGCATCCACTCTTCTTCTGTCTTCCTTATTCATTGTGCAGCTTTCACATGAGTATGAGGCGACTGAAAATACCATGGCTTGGGTTAGGTGCACCTTAGTCTTCAAAGTGACATCTTTGCTCTTTAATACTTTAAAGACGTCTTTTGCAGCAGATTTGCCCAGTGCAATACTATGTTTCATTTCTTGACTGCTGCTTCCTGCATGTTATGTAGGTTGTGGATCCAAGTAAAATAAAATCTTTGACAACTTCAATCTTTTCTCCATTTATCATGATGTTGCTAATTTGTCCAGTTGTCAGAATTCTTGTTTTCTTTATGTAGAGGAGTAATCCATACTAAAGACTGTAATCTTTGATCTTTATCAGTAAGTACTTCAAATAGTACTCACTGCAAAGTATTTTTTCACACTGTTCTATATTTTTTATTCCTTTTTTTTTCTGTATTCTTCAGTTTG